AAATATGACTAACAGTGGTGATAAATGTGTTAGAAGTAATGGTAATTACAGCAGTTCTGTGAAGGGAGAATTCGAAACGTTTACGGTGTTATCAGACAGGGAAGGCACCTAAGAGACATTACGTGAGACTTTCATTAAGGCTGGAATTAGAGCGGCATTTAAATCTACAAATAACCTTTGTAGTTTGAAACATCCTATTGATCAAATTAGGTAAAATAATTTAGTTTATCAGATCCCTTGGAATGACTGCGAGGTCAGATACAGATCAAAGTAGTCAATCAGAGTCAATTAGGCTTACCTAAAACAAGATTGGTAGATCCTAGTCAGATAATGAATCTAGAAAAAAAGCTCGGTTATGTCTATACCTATAATTACACACAACCACACAATAGGATGAGACAGAGTGAAATACTTAAGACGAACCTAGTGGGTGGAGGGGAAGATAAATAACTGAATCTTTGCTAATCGGAATAACACCAAATACATTTTAATCCATTTATTAGAAATGTCACAGTGAAACAGTATATATTTACTGGATAACGTTTCCAACATCTCTAATAAACGGATTAAAATAGAACTACCATCTACCATAGTACCCAAGTTTTACTCCTATATTAATACCAAATACATGCAACAGGAATGAGTCTGCACTTGTTTCAGATATATTGAAAATCCTATTACCTACATCACAAAGAAGGCGAGAGAATTAGAACTGCTTAAAGCATGTCTCAAAGTTGTGGAGTTACTTGATATGACTATGAACAATAAAATGTGTCTGAAACGTAATCCGGCAAGTAATATTATCCCACCGTGTGATACATCTAATAAATCAACTAAAAGGAAAGAACTCCGCAAACCTTCACATGTTCTGCAATTCATTCAAAACAATGTTTCTCTAAAGAATCCTTTCCAAACTAGGCTAAAGGAGATATAAGGTATTCAGCTAGCCTAATAGTATTCCTGTAAAGTAGAAAGAATTTTTTCGAAACTACATTACGATATCATCAGAATATGAATTCACTAACTTCTGACTATTGGAATAGCTTACAGGATTCAGATGATTGAAGTTTTCTACATGTAATGCGATGTAGATTACCTCGTAGTTTTATGGACAGAGCAAACACTACAAAGTTTCTCACCAATCACAGAAGTTAAAACCTCAATTGGAATATACAAGATGATGATCGCTGAGAAGTTTAGGACAATCGCTGACTGTAAGTATTAGGCCTATATATTGTGAAATCGATATGTTCGCATAGCTTTTTATGAGCGTCAATGTATCAAATAGGATATATTTGTAGACCGAATCAATTTACAAAACCTTCAAACACTGCATAGCGAGAAGTAATGCATTGAAATCAGTTGGAATGGAAAGATGAAAAGAACAAGAATAAGCAAGCACCGAACAGAAAAGCGTTCAACATTTCAACCGAGCTAAAGAGTATATCCGTATAAAAGTCCCTACCACTGGATTATCTGTATAAAATTTACTAGTTTTAAGAAATAAGCTTAATACAGTTAAGACGCTAAGTTATGGTAGTCTCAATAGATAGAAAAAACATAAGCTAAATACTGTCTCTCCTGCTTTTGCTAACGAATGAAGTACTTCGTTCCCCAAATAATGAAAAAAAAACTAGAAGAAAATTAAAGTGTTTAACTGTATGAGTGGTTTGTATATATCCAACTTCCACTCATCATTTGAATGACAATATCGCGTATAACATGCGTAAGAATGTATACTTGATTAACTTTATTTCAAATCCAATGTTTATCTCATCTAAAGGGAGGAGGAACACTTGCGAACAATCCGATAAAGAAACCGTCAATAGGTTACGAAGGTCATGCATAAAATCATATATAAGTATGGTTATTTCACCGCTACACTTGAAGACAAAATAGATGAGAAAGCAGGATAGATTAATCAAACGAATTCAAGCTAGCAAGAGCATAAGGGTATAAATACTCAAGAAAAATCACTACAAGCTGCATAGATGACGATAACTATTACAGTATTACAATCTTTACAACTGATAGTCTAAGGTTACAAAACACTTCCGTTACAAATGGCAGAGCAGCTATCCAAACTTAATTACTGAAAATGTAGAAAGCATGGAAAGTTCTACATACTTCGGAATACACACAACTACCCTGTGCATACCCATGAAGTAGGCAATGAGCCACATCTGCACATAATGAAGTGAATTTGAAGCTAATACTTCAAAATATTATAAATAATCAGGATAATTTTCTCAGATACATCATGTTTAAAATCAACCGCATTATAATGGTAATACATTATTCTACTAATGTAAGCAGAAAAAATAATCCGTGCAAGAAAACATTAAAATCTGAGCGGGATTCTCAAACAGTTTCCAAAAATCTAAAACATTCCAGTTATCTTACTGCTTAGTTAGACGCATATCCTACTTGTCAGTTGTAATTGATTGAAACAGTGAACTGAATCGTCATTGCAACAGCTAGTTCTAGCTAACAAAATAAAACTTCCCTAACATAACAAAGGATGCTGTACACGCACTTCATGATTACAAGTGTATCAACAAGAAAGTCTTGTGAAAACTAGTGAATATTACAGAGTATGAATTCTATAGTGTTAAAAACATTTTCTTTGGTATGAGTCGCTAACATGTATCCAAGCAACAAAGGAAGAAGGCTTTTAACAGATGTCAGAATATCTTTAAAAGTGACGATCAATGTCCTGTAATAGTTTAGTAATAAAAAGTATACTTCTCTATACAACCGAACCCTAGTAAATGAGTGCGCCACCAGAAATAGATAAGCCATCAACCAAATCAATCATTAGTCTTGTGTATCTATGCGAAAACCATTTCAGTGACTATCCTGCTGAAGTTAATCCTACAAGTAGAACTATCATTTTTGTAAAGGCAACATCTTCAACTTAAAACGGAACGCTTTTTCGATAGGCTTGAAATGCTGCAACAAATCTATCTGACAGCACTGTATGAACCAAGTGCCAACTGTAACTCCTTACGCTTTTATCGATAAAAATATTTTACAAAAGCACAAAAAGTACACGTAAGCATTTTACGGAAGGATTATCTCATGTGAGTTTGTCGTCGTGAGTTAGTGACAACATTTGAACCTTATTCTGGAAAAATATTGATACTATAACTGTTTGTTCAGTGGGGATTAATAGATGTATATAACCAGTGAATAGGGAAACAATTACATCTTATGCTAGTCACAAGTAAACATCCTGGTGCTGACTCAAATTTTCTCGAACATTTCTACAGAATTGGGTGTAGTCTCAGCCAAGTAATGAGAAAGCTGGAGTTACATGACAACTTAGGGTAGATCGTAACTTATCAGCTAGGGCACTCGACTTTACAACTATAGTCCAAACTGCTTCCAGCTTAACTTGAACAGAAAGACAGGACAGTATTATATTAAATGTGGCTCATAACCTTGCACATAAATCTGTACCTAGTTGCATGGAAAATAGATGAAGCAAATTATCGGGATAAGAACAGCCTACATGCCTTTCTGACATAAACCCAATTCCTAGTATAAGCAGACTTCCCAATTAATAATGTGTTAATATCTCATGAACACTAAATTTTACAGCTGGGTGGTGATAAACTATGGAAACTGATGCATAATTGAAAGTAAACACTTTTTTAAGGTGATAAAGCACGATGGGCCTCCTCAAACGTTTGGGAACGCGTGATATTAAGTTTGTTCTGAACTGCGTGAACATTCAAATCTTTGTTCAACTTAAAGTCAGTTTTATAAAAAATCACATCACAAAATAACTAGGGTCTAACTAGAAGTTGCTGACCTCTATGTTTAAAGAACTGTGAAAAGAATAACATCTAAATCCTACTGTTATTCTTGCAGTATCCTTTACTACATACTTGAAGTGGTGATGCTATTGTTCTGCTTAAGGTGCAGCTGGATCATGGGAAACTAGACTGCTCATTAAAGCATCCGACCAAACGTTTCGGCTGAATGGTGTGATGGTTTCATTACTCATCATTTATTGAACTTTAATATTAAATTAAAGTGCCTGGGCCAAAAAGCCATGGCTCAAGATAAGTTGGTCAACAACATGAGGAGTGGCATTACTGCATAACGGTTGGTGTTGCCACACTTCACTTCCCCATATCAAGGTAGAAGGCACTTAGACAAAAGACAGAGAAATAAAGAGTAAATTGGTCAACTTCATAGAAATTAGTGAAAAGAGAACAAGGAATTAAACAGCTGCGAAATTCGTTATGATGATTAAGGTGAAGATAATATGTAGATACACCTATGCTACTGACATGAATCCTGAGCAATATCTCATAGTCTTCAACCAGTGATTCCGGTTGCGTTTATCCTAACCAGGAAGTCTATATTTCCCTACACGGTTTAGACCAACAGCCAAAATTCATTAGGCGGTGTTGAGTTTCGGTCTGGTTGCCTCTAACGTCATTCCCACCAAAACCTACTTCAGCTAACATTGTGCGACGACGCAGATGGCGACTAAGTATGCGTAACAAATACCCCAACCACCTAAGTCGATGAAGGTCTACAACCTTACCAACTGACTTACCTCTTTCACCTAAAGCTCCAAGTTTGACTTCTGGATTGCTGAATTGGTGGTACCGTAACACGGCCTATGCTACGAGGGTGACGGTGGTCGGAAACCTGAAGTTTTCGCATATCCTCTCACAGTAATCGTCATGTTTTACAGCGACATAGCGGGGGAGAGCTAACTACTGTACAGTATGCTAGTAATGAGACATCAGAGCGACGCTGTGAATGGCACGTGTCGCCGAAAGCCAGGAGTGCTTTTTGTAACTATGTCGAGATTTCGTCAATTACTAATTCATCACGGCTGAAGCAACTTCCCAAGTAAGTGGAGTGGCTAATGAGCTTAATCACTTCACCCCCTATTATTACAAGAGGCACCAACGCTGATGCCACAACTTACACTTGTGTGGTGAGCAAAGCACCCTACACAATTCCAGATTAGTTAATGTAATGACTTCATAAGCACAACTTCAAATCGCAAGTTATTTTGCCTGTGGAATATTCCATGAAGTGAAACCGTACTAATTGCCAGATGACGTTTCGAAAACAATTGATTGAATAATAACTGATGCCGTTTATCGAAACAAATGCAAAGGAAAAGACTCAAATATTTCGAATATCTTGGAATTTCTACAGTCCATAACACAAATCAGTGAAAACAAATGGAAGTATAAAAAAAACAATGTGAAAGCTGTGGAGTTACTTTTGACGTGAATATCAACAATAAATTGTCTCTGAAACGTCATCCAGTGATTGACACTATTTTACTATGCAAAATATTTGAAAAACGAAGCAATCTACAATTGCATATTATCATAGTCTCAAGTTTTCTGCTTACATTATTGAAACTTTCATACATATTTGTGATCATTTGGCTACGTGGATACATCACTTCCATTAGAGCCAATGTAATTTCTGTGTTAATTCGAATATGCCAGAAACTAGTCAAGATACCACAGTTAGTGAAGTACTCTTTTTTAAATTGTCAAATACCTCTCAGCAAAAGATAGCAAATGTGAGCACTAGTAACCATCAATTTCATCGGGTGAGCTGTATATGATAACCCATTTTCAGTAAAAAAATTTTATTGCCTTTTTATAAAAACAAAAGAAGATAAGTATTTAGTCTTATTATGCAGAGATAAATATAGTAAAGTCTCTATAATTAGGATTATATATATATATGAATTATCGTTTAAAAAATGGAGATCTACAACGTAGAAAGTATTAGATTTTTAACCAGGTTCCACGGTTAAGATCTGAATAATAGGATTTTAAACTTTCGCATCAATAATAGGTGGTGGTAAAAATAATGGACAGGCTAATAAGTATTACTTTTTTTTCAATCTTTCAAAACGTTCAGCCAAACTTTCGAAATCTGCTTTCTCATCATCTGGAAGACCTATATTGTCAGGTCTATTCATTGGTGGCAGCATATTGAAACCATCTTGAGGTGGCAGCATGCCAAAACTATTCTGTGGTGGCATGGATCCAGCACCACCATAATTATAAGGCATTACACCACTCTGATCATTGGACATAGTTATATCATATGGCGGAGGCATTACGATATCTTCATTGGTTTCTGGAAAAAAACCAACACACAGATTACGTTTGATGGATAAATTATCTAAGTGAGAATAACATATCATAAACAACTCCCAGAATAAACAGATGATCATGAATGCGAAAGGTTTGTAACATTGCACGAACACTAGTTTATTCGCTGTTATAGAAATACTTCACTGGTCAGTATTAACAAGCGTAAGGAACATATGGAGCAGGATTCCATGCTGATTACCTCGTAATATCCTAAAATAAACTTAATCCACATGATATCATGCAGCTTAGAACCCAATGTTACTTACAAGATGTGTTTGACAGAATCTAATTAGCATCAGCTAGCTGATAAGCAGTGCTGTACACAATGTACCAAATGAACATTTGAGAAATGATGAGTTTTTTGATTGAACTGTTATCAGAGTTTTTAAAGGGGGGTAGTCCTGTCACTGTTTTTACTTGGAATGTTTACTAAGTAAGTATGCCATGACTATGATGGATATATTTTTTAGCTGGATCACTTCTGTACTTCTTCTAAAAGACAATGGAACAGATATCTTACTGCATAAGGATCCATGATACTAGGATCAATTACGTGGCATGTTATCATATTAGGATCTGGTACAGCCACGCAAAGATCCAAGTTGAATATTTCACAGTAGCGTATCTGGATGAAATCGAAAACAGGGAAGACAAGGTAGTGAAAATAACATTAGTCATACAAAACCATAACACAAGGTTAAAAGGAAACATGGACAAAAATATATGAGATGATGCCTTAGACGAAGATGAAGTACTACTGCTTTCACAATAATTCAATCTATGTTAAACCACATCATTTAGTCTCCAACGTTTGATTTCAGCTTTCTCACTTATCTCAACCAGGAAGAGATTTTATGGATTGCTGTTGTCTAGGTTTGTTCAAATAATCACCCTAGCAACAGGAACCACAGTTATAGGAATTATATATCAGCCAATTACTGGGTAGTAACTTATGTTATGCCATTTATTCTTACGTGTTGACAAAGTCTTACGACCAAGTTTGTGACCATTCGATTAAATGATTAGACATTGTGATGCACTGATTTCAATGTTCAACAATGGCAGACTATTGGCGGAGTTGTTAGATCTTTAACTAGAAAATCAAACCGATTCGAGTCTTTAAAGGGATTAACAACCTGCCAAAGCATTAAGCTTGTCTTGATAAGTGACAAAGAGCACAAGACACCATTAAGGTCTCTTATCACTAATCCCTAGCTATCCAACATCTAACAAACATTCATGATAACTGATGCAAAATGAAGTGCACACTCTTAAAAGTAGCTTTTTATTTGTTTATTTGAAATAGCACACAATGACAAAGTTTACTACAACGACAGCTGGTACCTAAATGCGGGGGTCCGGGCTTGCAAGACCAATGGCCAAGTGAGTTGTGCTGGGTGAAATGATTTTTTTGACGTCCCACCATGACAGAAAGGTTTGCTATATAATATTAAGGCTGGAAGTAAACATTACAATAATTTACAACAGCAAGGGTTTGAGGTGAGGCAATAAGGTGAGCTGTGCTGGGTGTGACGGATAACAAGTATTTCTCTCGTTCCTGAAAAGAGGTCAAGGAAGATCGGGGTTTAAAATAGCACAATCTCTTCTGCCCCACAGGAAACACCAACGGCTAGGGTTGCTCTTCAAGTACGAGCTGAGACAATCACATCCAAATCAAAAACCCTCAAAAAGAGCAAGAGACCAGCTTAAAGATGTTTTTTTCAAGTTAGTATTCATCATGGAATGACATCAGTTGAAGGAACATTGGAAACCTGGGAGCACTGGATATTTGTTTTGTCCTACTGTGGGACTCCTCGGTAGTGCACACCCATGACCCCGTCAGGGATCGAGCCCATGACCTTCAGGTTCCATGGCCAGCACGCTACCATTGAGCCACTGGGTAGGAATTCAATGGCCCATATTTCCAACTTCTGTCAGTTCACGACATAGCGCGACCATCACTCAATATCATCGTTGAGTATTTTTCCTCACTACCACCAGACTTTGCCCACCGGTCACAATTTCTTATTGGAACTTAAGGAATCCCCTCTCGAAGCTAGTCATCTGTAGTCAAAAATCTGAAATCGCTTCGTCTTCTGCCATGTCTCACAGTCGCATAACAGGATAGAATGGACTGCAGCGCAGTATACTCGTCCTTTGATAGATAGTCAGATATCTCATCGTCGCTACAGATGACGCAAGTTGACGAATGCCCGATAGGCCTGTTGTATTCGAGCTGAGATTTCGTCAACAACCAGCCCGTATGGCCTTGTGCAACTTTCCAAGTAAGTGAAGTGGTTGGTACATTTCCCCCACTTCACTCCCTATCATTAAACTGTTAGCACCTGCAGAAAACCAGTCCTGGAGCATCATCCTACATTTGACAGGTGCCAGAGAGACGCATGCCAAACATACTGAGATTTCTGCTCAACGTGTTCAGAAGACTCTGCATTTTGTCAGCATCTTCACCTAGCAGGACAATACCGTTTACATATTCCAAGTCAACTAGATGCCATCCATACAGTAGATCAGTTCCTGTGGAGTCGCAGGTACTTAAGGTCATGTCCATTAGTACGTCCGTGACGAAGTTAAATAGAAACGGTGACAGACGACATCCATAACGGACACCTTTAATTGTCATCAGTTTTGATGACAACTCTCCATAAGCCCTTACACGACTGCGTGAGTTCGGGTAGACGGCTTTGATTAGCGTCATATACTTGCTTGGTACTCCATTCAGTCGGCACTGCCACAACACCTCATGGTCGACTGCCGCCTTTAAGTCAAGAAATATGATAAGTATTGGTGGCTGAAGAGTACGTCTGTGTTCCAGAACCTGTCGGAGGGTGAAAATATGATCAATGCACCCTTTTCCAGGTTTGAAACACGCCTGGTTTTCTCGGGTCGTCTGTTTTTGAGCTCCAGTTGTGTGTCAGGTAACTATGGATTCTAGGATTTCGGACACAATATTAGTCCAACTAATTACCCTCTAGTTTTCATAAGAAGACTTTTCTCACTTGTAGACTGGGATGACCAGTGAAGTATACTAGTCTGATGACACTCTGGTTCCCATAAACTACCTAGCACCTCTGTCATTTTAATTAGCAATTTCCTACCTCCTTCATTGAGTGGCAAACTGTCGGGTCCTGCTTTTTTGCATCATTTCAGGTTCGATACAGCTTACTCAGATTCAATGAGAGTTGGGGGACCGACATCTACGTCGTATTCATGTCCAGGCTGGCTGGATATAGGCAGCTGAAGCCTTGTTTGGTCCAGTTGAACTGTGCTTTACAGTATTCTGCCCAATTTTCTAATTGCGTGTCCTGAGAGATTGGCAGCGTCTCATCCTTCCCGGTGATGGTTTCACTAACCATTGTCTTCTTGACGGTATCCCTAATGAGCGTAAGTTGTTGCCGGACGTTAACCAAGGTTGATGCCTTCTCTATATCTCTCGCTTTCGCCACCCACTGCTGTTCACAGATGACGCGAAGACTCTTGGTCAACTTACGTTTGAGTTGCTTTCACTTTTCATTGTGGTCACCACCCGCTGTAGTCAGTCTTCTCGCATCAATCAATTCGGATGATGTCTCGAAAATCAAATGACGTTTTCTAGCCTTCAAGTGTAGGTTGCCAGCTGTCTTTACAGCCATTTCTAAAGCAGATTTAATATTACGTCAGGTTTCCGCATCAAAATCATTGTTACAGTGTTAAGATAAAAGCTTACCTCCCTAAATGCGTACTTGACATTTTTATTTTCCCATCGAGCAAAGACAGAGTTCAGTGTCGCCTTCTTCCTTGGACTGGTAATGCGCAGACACACACACAAGTTCGTACTATCGTGTGTGCTGGTCCGAAACAACTGATTGTCGGAGCGAAATTGCAACAAACGTTCACTGTTGCCGGTTCGTTGGGATGGCATTCCGTAAATGCCCCCAAGATGACTTTCCGATTGGCTCATCTTCACTGCTTGAGCGTTAAAGTCACATCTCATTATGACTACATATGAACGTTTTACTTTTTGTAGCGAAACTGACTGGTTCCCATAGAATTCATCATGTGCATCTTCCAAACTGCAGTCGGCGTACACGAATAGGGGTCGTCTAGTTTCACCATCCTTCCTAGTTCTTACAGATCCATTCAGTCGAACAGCACATAGAAGCTGTTGACTGGTATCCAATCAAGAAGCTCAATTTCTGCCCTACAACTCAGTGATATGCCTACAGTAGCGTGTCCATCATGTCTTCGAACACTTTTAAGGTGAATATTGAAGATCCACTGCTATGGTCCGGCGAGGTCAATTTAATAACCATATTGCGGGTCCTGTATATGTGTCTGAGAGAAACAGCATACACCCATGGATAGGGGTTGCAGAGTTCTGGTGAGCAGTGCTTGCTGTCCGACTTGGCACAGAGTTCGTGAGTTGAAAGCTCAAATATGGAATCGATGGTGGGGTCTTAGGAGATTATGAGTGATGTTTCGATGGCAATGATTGTTCGCAATGGTTACAGGGTGATGTTAGGGAAGGTGCAAGAGGCTTAGTATTAGTATCAGAAGGTGAAGTCAAAGACGGAGATAGAGTTGAGGAGCATAGGTTACGTTTGAGTGGGCTCTGTGTACAATTGGAAGAGTACAGGCAGTTGACATTTCAGGGCTACCCACATAGTGGAAGGGAATATGGTTGTGAACTTCCATTGATTGAGGTGGCTTGGACATGTACTGCACACACCAAGTCACTGCCAACCGTCACATGTAATGCTAGGGGAAGCTGGATTAGGTTGAAAGAGGGTAGAGGGTGGCCAGATTGAGACGTGGCACCAGTCCATGAAGTCCCTGACTGTTGGTCGGAGCCATTTTGGGAGATGTAGACTGCCTGGTTGCGGTCTCCGAGCTGTGACTGAGTGGTTTAGGGAGAGGACTATCAACCATTGGGTAGCAGGTTCGAGCACCGCCCCACTTACTGAGGTTTGGGTAGCCAGGTAGTATCACTAGCTCCCACACAATAGGTATGGGTGATTGCTTACTGCACGGATATGCACAAGGTGGTTGAGTACTTGGCGTTGCGTTGCGGTCTCTAATACGATATGAGTCAGTGACTGAGGGGTCTTGGTGAAATTACTAAAAGTCGGTCACAATAATGCAGATGTACTCACTCTTTAACGTCTTCTACAGCTTGAATATTTGCAATGACCTTTATCTTCGGGTTATTTGTCCTCTCACATAATTTCGTCTATTCTTTTTCTGTCCATCTTTTCTTTGTGCACTACTATGAAGTGTGGCAACTCGAGTCGATGCACTTGTGTGCGAGGTTCTACGTTGATCCTGTCTATCTGACATCCATATTCACTCCACTTAAGGTAGCTCGGCGGTCAAAATGAGATAGTAAGTTTCTAGCTCAAGAAAAGCTAACTAGGTGCTCACTTGTTTGGTACTTTTAATTTTCCCGCTGCTATAGAGGGGCCCAACTGCTCGACCTACGTTGACGGATGAGCCCCTATTCGAATGCCTCGATGGTGTCGGATATTCATGATGCTATATTCATCTTGGTGACTGGCAGTGGAATTCAGGACGCACATTTCGTCTTATTTAGAACTCGTCAGCTGGATGTACTTGCACACTAATGAGTGATGTTGTTCTCACTGAGACTCAAATTCCGTAACCTCTTTTTTCAAATTAGAAACTGGATTTCTTAGCAAGCCTATTGGTAATATATCTCTGAATACTACACCTGCTTACTTTAACATCATTTATATTTCATCCACTTGGTTCTTTGCATGCGGGTGTGAAGTGTAGCAACTTGAACTGATGCGATTCTGTACCAGGTTTTACGTTGATTTGTTATACTATTTGACCTATGTTGTCAATACCATGCATATTCATATTTTTACGAGTGAAATGACCGAACTTATGTAGAGATCTACATCAAAATACATATCAGCTTGCAAAACTCACATTTTAACACTTTTATTGGATTATCCTGAACTCCAAAGAGGATACCACAATGACTTCTAACCATTCCAAATTCTATAGAAAGGTCTACACATGACAAAAATTACTGGAGACATACAAGGAGAATAGAAAGATAACATCAAAACTATAAACCTCATATCTTTGGACGACAATAGAGATGACAGAGTTAAATTCAGTATCTCATATAAAGGCATTCAAGGGTGTTACTACTTATTATCAAGGATTCTGAAAATGTATGACTTCATGAGGTAAGTGATTTCGAAGGAAGATTAATAGTGCAGTGCTGCGAATCACGAAAAACAAATGTTAGATAAATACTGGAATCAAAACTAGTCCCAACTTTCTTCCTCTTGGTGACCGAAAATCAAGTTGTGAAGACAAATAAATTAAATGCACATCAAGAAAATCAGTCAAGGCTCCGTAGAAGTTGGCTTCCCACAGTTTATACAATCAACCAACCAGTCAACATTTGGGCACAAGTTACACTATATCAAGATTAGGCCAGTCTAGATAAAGATATCTTTGTAACTGGAAATTAATTTATGTTCTGAACACATTTATTAGCAAAACTTATTAAGACACCGGTTTCCGATGCATTGTTGAAGCTAGAGTATAGGAAAAGTCCATACAGACGTTTTCAGGTTAGTGAAAATGAAAGGCGTCCATAAATAAAAAACCGGGATGGAAACACGTGGGAAGATGAATAAAATAACGCGGGTACCACACTATAATATCAATTATCATGTAAATGGGTGATATGAATTATCATCTCAGTGGTTAAAATATAATACTCAAATATGAAGTGAAGGACACGTACTACTTGTACCTGGGACTGATGGTTCACTTGGCGGCATAGATGGGTGAGCACCAGGATCGTTGATAAAGTCCGTAGGATAAGGAGCTTTCTCTGACATTGATGGGGTCGGCCAGGGCATGCTGCAGGCTCCAAAATTCGGAGGTATGCTAGGTAAACCACCAGAACACTCAGATTTGAATTCAATTAAGTTATCATCAGGACCTGGTACGTTATTATCTAGTATAACATGCGTATCAGGAACAAATGGGACATCATAACTTTTCGCAATTTCAACCTATTGTTAAAGGAAACCAAAAGTATTGAAATGTGACTTGTCGAGAAAGTATTCTTCAGATAAACATGACGAAATGCGTCTACTGACGAACCGAAATGAATATTAGAGTATATCTTAAAATGAACATATACAACATGGTTTTCGAAAACTCTTCAAACACGTTACTTATTTTATACTCATTGAAAATACAAAAGTGTCACGCCTTTAACAAACTAATAAATCACCATCAGGAATTTCCACTATCATCACTCACACTAAACTTTATCGTATGCTGATGTGGGTGAATAATTTTGAACTTAAACGTCTCCAGGTTCGGTGAGATTGGCGATTCCCCCGTTAACATAAAGTGCACGAATACAGCTCATGAAATGCAAGGTATACTGAAGATCTCGAATGCGTCAAACTTATTAGGCTCGAATTGGTATTGAATGGTAAGTGGTGTAAGATTACAGAACAGGCTGAGCACTTCGCATACTCATAAAGATCTCAGAGGTCTGATAAACTAGTTCCTGATGAAATGACACCAATGCCTAAGAACTGTTTGATACTACCCAGTTTCCCATGCCGGAGTCGATGCATCTGGGACAGCTTGGTAGAAATTCAGTGATCAGGCCGATGTTTTGACAATCAAAGTTAGTTAGTGAAATCGTGAGCTTGAACGACCAAAATGACTGAAGCATTTACTATCCGGTTTGAACCACAGTCCACCTTAGTATGTGGTGACAGCTATGGTAGGATTAAATTGGTAAACTAAGGAAGACATGGTACAATGTCATGACACTGCTGACTGCGGTCACGCATAATAACTAGGCTACCTAGCCGTGGTCCATAAGATGAAATAGTTTGTCAGCAAACATAAACACGAAATCTTGTTTTACTTTGTAATCGTTCAAGTTCCCACGCCTCACAATACATCAAGATACAATGCAAACAGACGAAAACCAGTGTGAACAATATAATGAATATTGTAGAAAGCCATTAGAATCAAGAAAAAGTCAAAGTGGAAAACAGAATTCGGCATAACGCTTAAAATGAAGATGAAACATGAACGTATCCGCTTTACTGACAGATTCTGGGTCAGATTATTTAGTCTACGATTTCAGTCTATTAGTATGCATCCAGCTTCTTCGACATATCACGCTATGGACTCGCAAGAATCATCCAGGATTTGCATCGCACGACAACTGACACAAAACACCTCTTTCATTCTCTTTGACGAGCGTTGAACCGTCAGATGACATGTCAGGATCGTATCCTTTTCAGTTCTTTTAAGTTCGGCTGTTCAGTAACATCCTTTTAACTAACAGGTAAATGTGGCTTATAGCTTAGTATACGAACCCCCCCCCCCCGCCCCCAGACTTGCTAGGCATCACAACTTCTGTTGTGTAGTAGGCCGTTTCTGAGACCAGTAGCATCTATAAGCATAAACGTCCATAGGGCGATTACTTAAGTATAAAAAAACCAAATAACCACTGATTCGCAAACATTGTAGTAATAACATTTGGCTTTTTGGTTGGGCCTGACTTTCAAGCGCTAGGACTACGATTAAAAATAGTGAAACTACTTAGTGGGATGAATGACTGAATTTCCCCACGATGAAACCAACAACGCTCTTCATAAAGAGTTGTGGCTCATGTGACTAAGCTGGACTTTTGACCAGTGGTTTTATTGGTATGCATCTTTGAAGTGTGACCTCGCTGAGGATGTGCGGTTAACGTGGTCACGTGAATCCCTAACATCCAAACCACTCAACCCCGCCTACATATTCTAGCTATAGCGACTTAGTGGTTCATCATTATAACAGTACTTTGAACCAAGAACTAATTACAATAACATAGTTTCATAAGTACCAAATCCAAAATATTAGTCGTAAGATTGATTTTAAATTGGTCACAGATACAAAACATGAGGAGGAAAAACAAAAAACTAACCAAGTACATTTCGACCAAATTTGCTCCGGGCACAATAGAATTTAATTTCGACATAACAGTGCGGTTGACCATAGTCGCTTTTTCACAGCAGTCATGAACGTAGCTCTTGCCAAACTTAGCCGAAAGCTGATCAAAAATTACGTCAAGTTCCTTGATTTCGTTTTTCATGCGTGATTTGCACCATAATACTGTTGCAATTGGCGTTTCGAGAGATGCATCTGCCAATCTTAATTGTTATGTCAGAAAATGTACCTTACTTTGAATCCTGTACTAGCCCGAAACGCTCATTTATAGTCTCCAGATAGGACTGTATGATATCCATGGCTTCAACACAATAGTCGTCCCGTATGATTTGTTCAACTTTAATACGGGCCCTGTCAATTTTGCCATCTTTAAGAAGGTCTGCGATATCCCGACGATTTTTCTTTGATATTTCCGACTTTTTCTTTTGTACATACTCAAGTCGTTGGATACAAAGTTTGATGTTGGTTCTCAACTTTGTGAGATTACAACCACTAGAGAACATCACAAATGCACACACTGCGTGACCTTGAGTGCACTGCCTTGGAGTTTGACTTCCTCGGTTACAAGATTATGAAAAAGTCAAACAACCTGTTTTGAATGTCGACTAAGAGCTGACTAGTCTTGATTTATCCTGAACAGAGCTCCCTTCATGAAATAAGGGTTTGATTTAAGATACTAAAATAACCTTTCAAACGGTTTAGGAAGAAAAGTAAACCTTGGTGTCTGCAAACTGTTTTCCTAAAGACTGGGCATACAAATACAAATCATAAAATCTTAACATTTCAACCAGAAACAGAATTGGGCCTCAAGCAGACACTCACTTCGTATCTGTATATCCTTAGAGAGGTTAATATGAGCCTCTTTTCGATAACACTGTAGAGTCACTTTTCTCCAGAATCAATGACATAAGGCTCAACGAGATTCAACATTGATGCTGACCTTCATGGTTTAACTGGACTCACTAAGCTGAAGGCACCCAGTCGACCATCCTCGCCATTTGGCACTCTTTCGTTCTACGATGCACTGCTCGTAATCGACCGTCCATCCAGTTAACTGGAACGCATGGGTATCTTGGCAAGACCTAGCAAATATACTATTCCATTCGACTACGTCATTGTGTTGTTTCTCTGTCTCGTGTTCACAGGTATACAGAATATTGGAAAAATTAGTGATTGGCCTCTGCGTCTGTCAAGTTCGCACCGGTTCAATTCCTAAAACACTACACCGATGTCTGATAACTCTGGAGAAGTAAACGCTATTCCTGGTCCCATTAGCAACATACTGTAGCTCTGGACATGAAGTCTCTCCTACGAGATTAGCATTAAGACTTCGCTTCGTCAAGTTCTTCACCATTTAGCTTGTAGTCCCTACGACTTACACATTTAGGATTCGTCCTGGTGCGAACTTGACAGACGCAAAGACCAATCACTAATTATTCGGACTTGTTATATACCCACGAATACGAGACCAAGGAAGAACACGATAGCGTAGTCAGATGGAATAGTATATTTGGATGGTTGTGCCAAAATACCGATGCGTTCCAACTAACTGGCTAGACAGTCGAATACGAACAGTGCAACGTAACACGACAGCGTGCCAAATGGCGAGGATGCTTGACCGGGTGCCTTCAGCTTAGCGAGTCCAGTTAAACTATCAAGGTCAGCATGAATGTCGAAAGTCGTCAAACCCTAGGCTATTGATTTTGGGGAAGTGTGTGATGCTACACACATTTTAATGATGTGGCAAGGTGATTTAGAATCTAAGAAAGGCCATTCCTAATTTGTATGAGGTTTCGCTTGTCTGCCTGCTTCGTCTAGTAAACATTTAGGAACTTATTTCTTATGTTTTTGAGACCTGATTCTACGTTTATCATTGTGGAAAGGTGCGGTGTGTACTGTTAGGTAAGGAGTGCCTAATTATGGGGAAGTTTCCTCGGCGTTACGGATGAGTGTCAAAATAAGATGCATAAGACGTTTCATCTAGAAGAGGTGCTAATATAAGAGGTGTCATTAGGGGTGATGAAGGCGTATTCAATAACCCGGATAAGTAACTACATGACAAGAGACTAATTAGTAACCGACTACATTCAGAGGTTAATTTGGAGGTCTTCTGTTCGACAGGAAGTCAGTTCCAAGTCCGAGAAAATTCTACGGTGAGGAAAGTTGCAAGCAGGCAAGACTTAAGTGGGTTCATTGTGGAGCTGTAGGCGTGGTTGTGCAAATCATAACAACTATTGTGTTCGAATTGGGAATCACCACTGGCTGTAAGTGTGACTTTATGTAGAACATTGGAGAAGTGTCAGGTTATTTTTGAACCGTCTCATCAAAAGTTGTTCTAGATTTAGGGTCCTGGATCTGGAATTGTAGTCTCGTGTGCCCAAGGTCGTCTTCAGCATTACCTCGGCTAACAATAGAAAGTGGAGACTTTGGGTAAGCGGAATACTCCGCTTGGCTGGGAAGTGATAATAATATGTTTCTCACACGACATAAGCCATGTGAAAATGAACCAGCTTACGGGCATGATCACTTTGGTAATGTGAATTCATTGTCATGTACAGCTACAAGTAATAAACTGGGCCTCGTTGTTTACGGCGCATGAGGTATGGGTTTAAAGGAAGAATGTTGATGTTTATCAGACAAAAAACAATGAAAAAGCTAAGCTTTAACATAACTGTTCAGCAGAGCAAAGGAAATTCACTTCGAAATTAGGAATTATTCAGTCTTTGTTTAAACCATCGGATATCCTTGAGGGTGCGGCGGGTGGTGCGGCTGCGATCCCGAACCTCATGGAGTTTCTACAAAGTTCCGGTGACATGACAGACTATCGGGTACGATTAAGAGGGTCAGATATAAATGAAGAACTGATCGGTCGCCTTGGTTGCAATGCAATTGAATCCTTACGGGAACGAACCTGTGAGGAAACTACCTAGTGTCAAGTATTATCGCCCCATTCACGACAGCAGAGTACAATGTGGGGATACGGGTAATTTTCTTCGAAATAGGAAGACATGGGATCCACTACGAAAGTGAACAAGAACATGTCATACCAACCGGTCACAACTTTGTTATGGTCAGGGACAAAACGGCAGACAAAAGTCTGTGGATATCCACTTGATGCCCTTAACAAGCCTACTGAATATATATTCCGGAGTTGGAAAAACAGATGTTTAGCTTTCAGCCGCAACAATCAGTAAGATTATCAGTCCCTGACGGTTACTGATACAACAATGAGTGAAATCCATTGTTCTACACCCACAGAAGAGCAGCAAACGACAAAGCATGCTCACATATTCATGCAGGGGCTTTTCTTTATTAATAATGAGCGAAATGCGACTGAAATGACTCTGGGAGCATTGGCTTCTAGCTCTTTTTTCTCCAGGCAATCCACACAATAATTAGGCGCAAACGGTGACATTTTGTTGATTCTAAGACAATACCTCCAACTGTCCATATGGTCACTTTGTGCACATTTATTCTGCCGACATCCTACACTTTCTTGACTTGCAGTACAAACATTCCAGCAACTTAAGTAACTCGCTGTAAAGCAACGTGAAATTTACATGCAAATCCATTCATAATTCTGAGAGCGGTGTGTTGCCACATATTCGGGAATATATGTAGCAAATTTAAGTCCCGCGGCTTGTCTTTAGGTGCCCGGCTACCCCGAGAAAGGTAATGCGGTGTCGCTGGGAGAGGGGGAGTCCCAGTGCCTAACAGGAATCGGCTCACTTTCGAACTTCAAACTGTTCTCGCTTATTCAATAATGGGTCCGTTGATACACTGACGCTGGACACGATGATTGAGTTGGCCCTTCTGTCTCTTATGTCCATCGCAGGTCCGTTTACTGTGCGCCTTTTCCAATTTTTTTCTCAACCGCGGAGTTCTAGGGCGTTATGGATGTGGTCCGTCAAGAATCCAGTCGACGGTATCCCTTTATATGCGCCTGACTTTCCCTGCTGCCTGGTAGGAGATGCGGAAGTTCGGCCTAAAGTGATTTTTGTGAGTGATGGTGTGTGCGCAGCTGTGAGCAGTAGCTTTGTTTTGGGATTCCATTATACTGCCCATTTTTTTACAGGCAGTGGTAGCTTTTGTGGCTTTTCGTATGGAATGCAGAGGGCCTTCTGCATTCCGGATAAATGTACCAGGCCTATCTACATGGTTATCTCTTCACGAGCTTTCGGTATTTGTAGGGGCTGGATAAAGGCCACATTCTGCCGATTGGTAACATGATCAAGTGTTTTCATTTAGCCAAAATACTGCTTATACAGCTTATTTAACCGCATAACTGTTGGGTTTATGTGACAAAAACCTCCGAAAATGAGAAAAATCCCAATTAAATAATAAATAAGTATTTTATTCCCACATTAGTAATTTAACATGACAGAAGCCAGTTTACAGGGATCATCACTTTGACACACGTGCTATGAATGCGCCCGCGCACGCAACTAGTTAGGATGTGTTTTGTTTCCTTTCTGCAGTGTCTGGATAATATTTAAATTTTAGACTGAAGCACCCGTGTTAGACCTAACCAAGTGTTATAAGACAGTACAATGTCCTCATGAAGGCCGGCAGATGCCTTCCCATCTAATGCAGTTGAAGGCGAGTGGAGTTTTAATACCAACTCTGCTGTTCGTAATACACCGACTTATTCGGATGTCTCATTCATAACTCAATATTTCCAATAGCTGGGTTTGCGATGTCTATTAAATGAACAGCGCAGAAGGAGAGGTTGCTTGTATGTTGAAGTCATTGAAGCGAAAGTGCTGTATTGGAGAACAGGTTGGTGACTGGTTGCTACGCCAGCGGAAATTTGCATACCCCCGTTATTCACCCGCACCCCATGTTAAAATTTAATTTTAGGTGGGTTGGTGCTGAACTTGATGGCGATCGAAGAAAAGTGACGCCAAATGGTCATTGAAAACTTTTAAAAACTGTCGCTTATGTCGTTCACCGAAACTAACAGATCCTCAAATACTTTAGGTCTCTGAAATGACAATCTTAATAGGTTGTTGCAGTGTGAGATGACGAAACATTGGGAACTAACGCCTAATGTTGGACCAATCTACAAGGATCGTGATCCAAATTGCTGAGTGTGTATTGAAAGCAAACGGTTGGATAATTAAGGCAGATTCCAAAAAGGAGCAATAGAAAGCTCTATTGGAAGCTTAATTTTGCAATAGCAAAGAGGAACCCAATGTTCGCGAAAAATTTTCGAAATTCACAATCATCCCTTAATTTTATTCCGTTTCGTAATTACCCTCAAGGGTCGTGGTTGCGATGTTTATCCTGGCTTCCAGTCGATAATAGTTGAGAGTAATGTCAGTAGTGTGAGCAGTCCGTACAGTCATCTGTATCATCAAGACCCAGGTGCGCAATCTGTGTGTAAACAATCGTAGTTAGTTGTTACAGTTCCTGAGAGGTGAGTGCTCATCCAAACTCGACCTGAGAAAAGTTAGAGTAACTGCTATTTACCTCACCACAAGTTTTCCTTATGTCCATGACGTACGCCACCATTTTGTCGCGGGCCAACCACTGGCTGACTCCATTCGGCATTCAATAACTAAGTAGGACAGACTTGATGCTATTGTCTATAGGGGTAGTTTCGAAGATAGGGGTTTTCAGTATGTCTGTTGCCACAATCATATAGTAGTCTGTCAACCACCTCACACTATATTGAAGTGTGTCTACATAACAATGTTATGAAACCTAATTGCCTTAATTCCTTCGCA